CCTTCCAGTTGCCGGTGCTGCCACTGCTACCGAGCGCCGAGCGGCGACAGGAGGGTGGCGGGGCGCAGGAGGCGACGTCGCGCCAGCGCCTGCACCTGCCGCGCCGTCGAGATGGCGTCAGCAGTCGCCAGGACGCGTACGGCCCGACTCCGCTGCGGCGGCCGCTGCTGACGCGCCGCCAGCGCCAGACGCACCTCGAGGACCAGGGCCTACTGGCGCTGCGCGACATTGTCGACAGCAAGGTCAGTCAGTTCTTCCCCGAGAGCGGTGCGCCGGCGGCCGGTCGTCGCGCCGAACGCCAGCTGCACCAGAAGGAGCGCGACTTCGAGAGCCGGTTCTTCAGCGAGTTGGACGGCTTCCCGACCCCGCCGTTGGTCTCGCTGGACGCGGGGTTGAGTGGCAAGGCCGCTGCTCGCTTCGACGCGCCACTCTGGTCTTCCCCGGCGGAACAAAACGACGTTGCGGCGGCGCCTGCCGACCGAGCCGGTGGCACGGCAGCGGTGCCGAGCCAGCGACGGGCCCGCCAGCGGACCGGCCAGCGCGATGGGCAGCGACTCCAAACGAGCCATGCCATGGAGGACGCCTCGCTGTACGCCGTTCACGAGCTGGAGCCGGCCGAGTTTGGCGTCAAGCTGGAACGCTCGGTCGACCCGGCCCCGGACATCCAGCAGGAGCCCGCGCCCGCGCCCGCACCCGAGCCCGAGCCCGAGTCCGAGCCCGAGCCCAAGCCCGAGCCACCTGCATCCACCGAGCCGGCAGCCGATCTCGAGACGGCCGCCACCACTGAGAGCTTTGACGCCGCCGAGTATGGCACGCCCAAGGCCTCGTCAATCATCGAGGAGGCGGCGGCGCTGGCCGTGGCTGAGGACCCTTACGTGGCGCAGTCGTCCGAGCTGTCCGAGCGGCGGCGACCGCGCCGCCAGCGCCTGCAGCGCCGTCAGTTTGTGCCGCGTAACCCGGCCGTGGACGCGCTGCGTCAGTTCCAGCGGTTTCCGTTCCTGGGGCCGGCTCTGCAGACGTCGGCCCGGCTGCCGTTCGCCGCGCCGCGGCCGCCGCGACCTTTCGTCAACAGCCAGTTCGTGAACGTGGGTCCGTCTGGGGCACCTGGCCGCTTCCCTGGCCAGGGTGCCGGCGAAGCGGAGCGGCCCCGCGCGCCGCAGGGAGCCGTTCCGGGTCAAGAGGAGCGGCGCGCGCCGGCCACCCGGCCGTCACCGACTCTGCAGGACAGCCAGTTCCGACCGGTGCAGCGATTCGAGCCGACCGACGCCCGGCCGGGCAGCACGCCGCGGCCAGCGTCAGCGCAGAGCTTCTCCCGACCTTCCTTCCAGGACGTTCGCTTCAGCCCGCCACCGCCGCGCGTCGTGGGGGTTGTCAGCCCGCTGCCAGCACAGGGGCCGTCGGTTGGCCCGTCCAGCCCCAGCTCCAGCTTCAGTAGCACATCGTCCTCCGGGAGCCGTGGGCAGGGCTCCTCCGGGGGTCGGGGTGACGCCCGGTTCCAGACCCCGACAAGTGCTCCATTCCTAGTCCTAGGAGGTGCTCGGTTTCCATCTCCGGGCGGCGCCCAGTTCCCACCTCCAGGCAGTGCCCAGTTCCCGCCTCCCGGCAGTGCGCAGTTCCCGCCTCCAGACAGTGTCCAGTTCCCGTCTCCGAGCGTTGCCAAGTTCCCGTCTCCAGGCAGCGCCCAGCCCCCGTCTTTGGACGATGCCCAGTTCGTTTCCCCAGGCGGTTCCAGCTCTCAGTTCCAGAACCAGGACCAAAATCGGCTCCAGAAGCCAGCTTCCGTTCAGTTCCAGCGACCTGCAACTTTCGCCTCTGGCCTTGTGCCTGCGCCCAATGCGTTAGGCTTCAACACGTTCGTGGCGCCGCAGTTTGTGTTCCAGCGCGGGCCGAGACCGGCACCAACGGTCCAGCCTGGTGGCGCCGCCGCGAGACCGGTGGCGGCGCCTGAGGAGGCCGACTCAGGCCTTGCATCGATCCCGAGACGTCCTGAGACGTCCGAGACGCCCAGCCAGTCGGCTGGCGCCGCGTTCCCGGCCGGCAGCGCGTCCGTGCCCGACGGCTCCCCGTTCACAGCGTTCAGCAGCCCCCAGCAGGGCGTGCTGACGACGGCTCGTCCTCGGGCACCGACCGCGCCGCCCACCGCGCCGGGCACCGGCCGGCCGTCGGCGTTCAACTTCTCGTCCGAGCGCAACCAGGCAGCGCCGACCAGCACGCAATCGTTCGGCGATTTTTCAGTGCGGCCCTCGTCCGGCCGGCCGCTGCCCGCTGGCGAGGAGTGGCCCCGCACGGACGCGCCGCCGTCCGGGGAGACGGCCCCGGCGCCGCACATCTCCACCCCGCTGCCGATCGGCGTCATCGCGGCGCTGGCTGACGTCACGGATGCGCCCGTTACGCCACCGACCGAGCCGCCACCACCAGCCACCGGGCCGCCGAGCGCTCCGGCCGCCACCAAGCCGGCGGCAGCCGGCGGCCGGCGCGGCACCAGTCGGCGCCGCTTCAGGGGGCGGCGACCGGGCCGCGGCCGGCGGCCCGCCACCACTGAACTCACCAACGAGGTCACCAACGACGTCTCCAACCTGGTCACCAACGACGTCAACCTGATCACCAACGAGGTGGACCGGCAGCCGGCACCGGTCGTCAAGGACTCTGGCTTCACGGTCCCAAACGTACTGGACGGGACGACGACCAGCCCGCCGGTTGTGGAGGGTGTCAGCACGTCGCCGCCGCGGTCCTCCAGCCGGCGCCCGTTCCGCCGGCGTCTCACGAGTCGCCGCCGCACCACCACCACCGCCGCGCCTGACGCTGCCGCTCCCGCGGAAGGCGCCACAGATGCCGAGACCGGCGGCGGCGCTGCCACCGAGGGCCGCAGGTTCTCGCGGCGCCGGCCGGCGGGCGCCAGAGGCCGCCCCGGCTTCCGCTCCCGGACGCGGAAGCGGCTGCGGATTGGCGGCCGCCAGCAGTCCACCGCGGCGGACCAGGCCGAGTCGACGTCAGGTCATGTGGTCGCGCTAGAAGAGACGTCGCCGCAGCGGGAGTCCGACATGACCACGAAGCCGCCGCGGCGACGCGCGCCAGGGTCGGTGGTGCGCCGGCGACACCGGATCCGCACGACCACCGCCGAGCCCGGGGCGGCCGTCACCGAGCCGTCCGTCAGGCAGGAGGACCAGGGGATCAAGGCCACGGAAGCTGAGCTGATCCAGGAGGGCGACAAAGAGGAAGCCGGCCAGCCGACTGAGACCGAGGCGGAGGCCGACCGGCAAAAACAGGCTGTTGTGCGCACCACACAGCAGCGGCTCAAGGAGCTGTACGAGCGACGCCGTCAGAGGCAGCGCGGCCCGGCACGGCGGCGTCGGCCTACACGCCTACCGGCCGCCGCCGCCGCCGCCGCTGAAGACACCGCGCAGCAGACGGCCACCGAGGCGGCTGACCCGGCCCGCGACCGGCCAGCGCGCCGCTTCGGCTCTCGAAGAGGCGGAGCAAGCCGACGGCTGACGCAACCCCGCCTGCGCCTGCGCACCGAGAGGCCAGCGCCAGAGAAGGAGCAGACCTCGGTGGCGCAGGCGGAGGTGGCAGTGGAGCAGGCGGAGGCCACCACGAAGCAGGCGGAGACCACGGCACAGCAGGCGGAGATCACGACAGAGCAGGCGGAGATCACGACAGAGCCGGCGGAGACTGCAACCGAGCCGGCGGAGGCCGCAACCGAGCCGGCAGGTTTGGCGGAGCCGACGACAGCTGCGAACGCGCGGCTCGCGAGCCGGCCGACGCGGCGCCGTTTCCGGCCGGACGCCCGGCGCGGCCGGCCGCGGACTGGGCGGCCGGCGCAGGCCACCGGCCGACCTACCACGCTTGCCAGCCTGCTGGACAGCTCGGAGGCTTCCACCGCCTCGCCACTGGCCGCCGTCAACCAGGAGGGCTCCAACATGGAGCAGAGCGAGCGACCGCTCAAGCGCACGCTGTTCGACGCCGCACGCCGGCCGGCCGAGGCCACCTCGAGCACGGCCCGGGTAACGCGCACCACCATCACGCCCGTCCTGGTGGAGACGGAAAACCCGGCGCCGCGCGCCACGCGGCCACTGGAGGGCGCCAGCGTGCGCACTGGTCAGTCGACCACCAGCGAGGAGAGCACTGCGCCTCCCACAACGGAGCCGGCGTTGACCACAGAGCCGGCTTTGACCACGGTCAGCGACCTGGAGCCGACCGCGCAGCCGGCGTCGACCGAAACAGCCGCCACGGCCGCCGTGGTCTCCACCGAGCCGAGTCTTGCTCACGGCACAGAGACGACTCCAGCTGACGGCGAGGACCGGGGCTCCTCGGACGCGGCGGAGCCGGCCGCCACTGCCGCCGACCAGACAACCGCCGCCAGCACGGAGCGACTCGAGTTCATTCCGTTTGATTCGACCGGTGCGGACGTGAGCCTCGACTCTATCGTCGAGGTGGTGGCCGCTACCAACGAGCCCTCCCACACGCCGACGATCACCATGGCGACCGACTCGCCGCTGCTGCCGCTACAGTCCCTGTTTGCCGGTCTCTAGGCGGCTACTCTGGCGGCAGGACTGCCGTGCTGCGGCCAGTGGCGGGCACGCCGTCTGGACATACCGCACGTGCCGCTCGCGCTGGACGGCTCGCGGTGCGCTCAATAGCCGCTTCCAGCGGTGGTCAGCGCAGAAGACCCCGTCTCCTCCCAATAGCGTGTTTAAGGTTTGTCGTAGGCGAAGACGCGGTGCGCATTTGGTTCGTAATACGCGGGATACAGAGGACCAAGCCGCTCAATGCTGACCAGACATCCCGCTGCGTTACGGTGTCATCCAAGTTATACGATACCTGATGAGTGTAGCACCATAACATACCATTACCTGTGAACACTATTTATTGTAAATACATGTGAACACATTGATTGTGTGGTAAAATTACCTTCACATCTTCCGTGCGATCGGTGGACGTGATTCAAACCGCTGTGCCTTCCGTTCATGACAGCCGTTAGCGTGACAAAAAGAGCGGGGTAAGATCATAATTTATTTTTAATCCCAACATTATGCAATTTCCAACAGAGAACACAGGATTACAGCATTTTAGCACTACATTGCATCAAGCTTTCCCCGATATGATCACCGACCGACATAACCCCCCACCACTTACACTACTTCTCCGTAAAAGCAAAGCGTGGCTAAGGAAATTGAAGGGAGGCTCGCTATTTGCAAACGTCAAACGACTCACGTGATTAAAACAAGTTCAGACAATATATACGCAGCCGCAAGGGAGAATCATACATGCAAACCAACTGAAGAGACAATACCAAACGGCCGTGCCATCGCCAATCAATGCATGATCCCATAACGCGGTGGACTTCCTCATCATGGCCATGAATCATAGCCTGTCCGTTTGATCCCCAAAACACAACAGCAGTCAGACACACACACACACACACACACACACACAGGCGGCAACTAGCCCCCAGAAGTGGAAGCGAGGCCAGCCGATAGATGGCACCACCGGTTCAAGGGCGCGCCCACGACCAACCCACCCTTCCCGACCCTCTGGGGGCCATCAGGAGACACGCACGAGCGTCCGTCCACGCCACGTGCGTCCACGTGTCGGCCCGAGGCGGGAGAGCACGTGGCCAGGCGCCTGCCTCACTGGCGCGCAACTCCTAGCGCAAGCCACAGGAGGCGGTCCGGTCGGGAGGCGCTGCCGCCCGCCGCAGCCTCGCTGGTGCCCGGCTGGCGGACCACTGCAGCGCGCACCGGCCGGCGCAGGCGGCAAGCCCTCTCGGCACGCCGCCACGCCATATCTGTCGCCGTCCGGCAGAAGCACGGCACCTCGCCGTGTCTAAACTAACTCGAGGTGGGTGCCGATACAAACGCGATGCCGGGCGGCCTCCGCCGCATCTCTGGCAGCGTCGCACTTGTGTTCTAGCCTAACGCCACGGACAAGGCTCGGTCCACTGGTCCGTTCTCAGTAGCCGTAGCGGTCCTGCAACAGTGAGGACGCTGCTCAGCCACCGCGCTGTCGTTACGGACGCACCCTGAGCTGCCCTCCAAAATGAGCTTAATCAAACAGGTTAAGTAACACACAGCGGGCGACGCTCTATCGCGCGTCGCCTGCGTGGCTCAACCCCAACGACACATGTCATCATCGCCTGTAAACAAACAGTTTGATATTTGTTGTCAACCGATCCATACAACCGCACATGTCACTAGCATCGCCACAGCCGCATGACAGTCGGTGACGACGATACTCTCACGTGGCATTCTCGTCGACTCAGAAACATCTTTTGATCTGATAGTGGGAGTGGCAGCCCATACGACTGGACGCGCCGTGCGTCCACCGGAGGTGGCAGTGTGTGCCCACGTCAGGACCGGCGCAGTCGTGAGCTCTCCGTGCCGACTGCCAGCTAGCCACCGGCACGGCGGTCGGACGTCGCACACACACATCGGCGCACGCACACAGGCATGCAGGCGGCCAGTGGAATGCGCCGACGCTTTGGCTTACCGTGTAGCCAGCACGGGGTGCGTACGAACAGCAGCGATTCAATGATAAACGGATGCTGAATTCATGCAAAAGGTTGGATCTATAATTCTACAGTTCGTTGACATCCCACGAAATACATTCACTGGAAATCACTAGCTTCAGTCAATTGCCGTGGTGAAGCGGACCATGCTGCATTGCGTATTGGATCCGAGGACGTAGCAAGTCACAAGAGATGTGAAATAAAGCCTCTAAGTGGGTGAAAGCTACGCCGACATCCAGCAGACATGTAGGCCTATGCACGGTAAACAACACCCGGGCTAAAACAGGAGCACAAAAAGCCAGGTGCAGATGTCCACATGTCCAAGCAGGGAGCACACCAACCACCTGAGAAAGCCGTCACGACCAGGCCAGCGCACCGCCACGAAAGGGTACAGGCAAGGCGCGTCGCAGATCTACAAAGAGCGTCTGCAGAGTACAGCACTGGTGTGCTCAGGGAGCCGAGCGCACATGCCGTCAGGTAAGCCAAACCAACCATGTTCTGTGTCGCACACCGCCGGCTGGACCGCATCACTGCAAACAGCGGACAGCGTCAAGGACCGCCCTCGACTCGCGCTCGGCACCAAGCACACGGCACGCGGTACACGGCACACGGCACACGGCACACGGCACACGGCACATGGCACGCGGCACACAGCACCCGGCCGGCTCACCCGGCGCCGGCGCCGGCGCCTATCCAGCGGCCGGCGCTGTACGCTACGACTTGCGCTGGCAGGTGAGGAGCGGCACAGCGGGTTAGTCGGCGGCCGGGCAGCGGTTAGTCCGGCGCTCGGGTGCGGTGAGACAACGGCCGCCGGTCAGTGCGTCACGCCCGGCCACAGCGCCAGCCCCACCACTTATACTGACCTGGGCACTGCTGATCACACGTTGTGTGTATCTGAGGGCTGGTGCGCAACGGGAATAAGCCTTAACATGGGCCGTACAGCGGCAATGGCATGGTGTCCCCCTCCCCTCCCCCCCCCCCCCCCCCCCCCGGTCTGTCTGCCGCCGGCGCGCCCGGCCGGTCGATCTTTACCTGCAATGACGACATGACACCGTTGGCCAGCGTGCCCAGCTTGCCGGCTACCTTGGTGACACCCTGTCGCACGCTCTCCTTCACGTCCTCCAAGTCGGGGGCCTGTCGGCAGCGGCACACGGGTCACGCCGACGCCATGTTGCGAGTCTTGGAGAAGCCCAGCGGCGGCAGCGCGCACGTCACCAGTCCTGGCGGCGGGCCAGCGCTGTCGCGACGGCGTCCGGCTCGCCCGACCTGCTGTGGCTAGCCTTCCGCTGGCGCAAGGGAGGGGTGCCTGACCGCACGCAGGCACGCCGACAGAGTAGGCGAAGACAGGCAGGACTGTCGGCCGGGGGACAGACGTGACGCCGACGCTCCGGGAGAGGACGAGGCACGACACCGACGCCCCGAGAGTGCAGCTGACGCGGGGCAGCCACGCCACCACCGGGCCCGGCTGGACCCCAACCTCCGGACAGGCGGCGGCCAGCTGACCTGCATCATGGGTCCGCCGCCGCCGCGCGCCGCCGGCTGAGCCTCGCCGAAGTAGTCGGCCGATGAGATGCCGCGCGCGCCCTGAAACCGGTTGATGTTCTGCTGCGCCTCGAACTGAAACAACGTGGGCGAAGACGGCAGTCAGCCGATAAGCCAGCCTCCAAGGGAACCCTCGACCACCTCGGACAGATAGAGTGTAGGTTCGGAAAGTTTAAATGCGAGATGCGGTGAAGTTCGCAAGTTGTGCAAAACCCATAAATAAGCTCCAAAAACTGGACCGACTTTAGGGTTCCCAGCACCAGCGATTTAGCCAAAGGTTGTGTTCGGCAACACACGAAAGAGCGTCCTCTTCTGCTTCAGAATCATACCATCATGTCGAAAAACGGTCAAGGGCTGGTAAGGCCACAGCCATGTCGAGACGATATGAGGTCATCTAAAAGAACCTAATATTTTTCTGCTGTTCGGGTTCACGTGTCACATAGAAGTCTCTAGCGTGGAAATGTGTCGCTTACACCTACCACTGTAAAGGCGCAACACGTCACATGGATTCAACGCCTGTAAGTTGCTTCACATGGCCTCTGGTGATGGTGGGGTTCACCTCCTATGGTTTGACCATTCCTGACCGGAAGGCGGCCGGATCACTCGACAGATTACATCGAAGCAAAGCTTTGGCTCTCATATTTTGTATGCGTTTGGCCTTTGCCGGCAACTCGATGCTCCACGGCAATCGATCAAATCGGTCCGTGAAGCGGCTGGTTTCGTCTGCGGGCGGCGGGCACCCCATGCCCTGCCGGCGGTCCACCCGGATGGCGCTCGGCTCCACGCACCGACGGCCGCTCGTCGCCGAAGTAGGCGGCCGAGGAGATGGCCTTGGCGTTGCCGAACTTCTTCTGGGCGTCGTCGCCGCACGAGCCCCTGCTGGTGTCGGCGACGACGGGCGCTGGCCGGCGCGCCGGCTCCACCGTCGGTCGGTCCCAGCTGCTGCCGCCGCCGCCAGACTTGCCCCAGGCGCCGCTCAGGCCCGACAGGCCGGAGCCGGCCGAGAAGCCGCCGAAAAAGTCGTCGTCCTCCTCCTCCTGCGGCCTACCGGCGAACAGCAGCAGGCGTGCGAGCGAGCGGGGCAGGTGCGCGAGCGAGCGGGGCAGGCATGCGAGCGAGTGCGGCAGGCGCGCCGCAGTGAGCGGGGCAGGCGCGCGAGCGAGCGGGGCAGGCGCGCCGCAGTGAGCGGGGCAGGCGCGCGAGCGAGCGGGGCAGGCGCGCCGCAGTGAGCGCACGTGGCTGATCACCGAGGTAGTCCGTATAGCAGCAGGACGGTAGTGCGCGTGCGCGCGCACGCTGGTCAGACACAGCACAAGATGCCGTATTCCCCAGACGTCCGACGGAGACATCGCCATGACGAGCAGACTGGGCGAGTGAGCGGTCGCTGGCTTCCATCAACAATGACAAGCAAGGTATATCGTAATGATAGCGCTCACAGGCCTGCATGTACGCCGACCAATCGAAAAAGATCCGTGAATTTTGCGCTCACAAGTCACCTATTCACATTACGCAGAACAAGCGATTTGTAATGTTGGATATGAATGTCGTCTAATGACACTAAATAATCGCGAAAAACCGCAGCGAAAAGATGACTCCACACCCCACTCACGAATAGTGTAAAACTATAACCGCTAGCGATCGGGCAAGGCCCAAAAGAGTGAAAACACCAAGCGGATGTGGCTCACTTGTTCTTGGAAGATGTGAACCCGACAACCTCGAATTCGTCCAGCTCGTCGCGAGGCTTGCGCGAGAAGGCATCGGCGCCGCGCCGGCTGAACGGGTCAGAGGCGGGCGCGTTCTGCTCGATCGTCTCCATGTCGCTGAACGCCGAGTGGCTGACCCCGCTGTCGACACCGGTCACTTCAGGTCAGGTCACCTCAGGTCAGGTCAGGTCAGGTCGTGTGAGACCCGACCCAGCCCGGCGCCCACTGCAGTCTGTCCGCCAGTGACGACAGGCCATCAGCACGCTCAGTGCAGAGGCAAACGCCGCGAGACCTGGCGCTCGTCTAATCCACACATCCGAGTCTGCGGCGTCTAAGCTCAGCGATAACGTCTAGATTCAGACTCTGCTCGATTAGAGTCGGATTTAACAACGAATTCAGCACTCAGTCATCCGTACACAGTCCGCACACAATTTGTGTTGTATGGCAAGCGTTTGTTCGCGCAGTTTTCAGCACTTGCTACGGTCCCTATGAATAGCATGACCCAATAACAATATTCATTCCACTTGCGCGATGCTAATCCAGCACACGTCTGCGTATGAAAATCAATGCACCTCGAAACATATGCTATGTACTTCAAACTCAGTTCTTGGTAATCAGATCACGGGCCCAGCTGTGACGGCCCATAAAAGAGCCAGCTGTGGGCGACGCCGGACGCGGCCGGGGCCATGACCAGCCCACGTACCCGGATGAGCCGAAGCCCATGCCCAGCCGCTCCATCTGTTCAGCCTTCTTCGGGTCCACGTTTTTCATGCGATCAGACTGTTTCTTCTGCTCCAGACTGAGGTCCTGGTAGGCCAGGCGCACAGAGGCCAGCTGACGCTCCCGGTCGGCGGCCGACTGCTGCTCCTGCTCCTTCTGCCAACGGCGGACGGCACGGGTCACCACAAGAGGCAGCCCTCGCCCGCTACAGCCCGCTACAGACAGCACGTCACACTGAGCGCCCACACGTCAGCGATGAGTACCGGCACAGAGCGTGGCGCAGACCACGACCGGACGGCGCGGCCACCGGGCCCGCCGCCTGAACCTCAGCCGTAACCTGCGGCGCGAACCGTCCGTACTCCGTACCTTGGCTTCCGCCGCCTGGACCTTCATCAGATCGACCTGCTCCGCCTGCCGCTCAATCTCTGAGAAGTCCTTCTTCACCTTCTGAGCGCCCAGGCCTCCGCCCAGCTTCCTAGCGCCCAGCTGAAATCGGCAGGGCGCAGAGCGTGAGGCGGCATCAGACAGGGCGGCGTGCTGGCGTGAGCGGAACACAAGCGATGGGGCGCGCCCGCCTAGTGCAGCGCAGTCAGCGATCAACTGTTGTACATTAAGCTCATTTTGACGTGAATCCGAATGGACCATTCGCGGTGACACCCACAGACAAAGCCCACATACGCTGGGTCGTGCAACATACTCGTGCATTAGTCCTCGTCTGACAGATACGCAGCGCCGGGCCACAGGTCACAAAGGCAGGCAGATCCAGGGGGCCGGGCCATGGCCCGAAGATGGCCAAAGTGGGGCAAAGTTGGGCAAAGTGATATTTTTGCATGACTAAGAAGATCTATGTAACTTCTTCCACGGATACTTTGACTTAAAATACTAATGTAAAAGGAGGCGAAACTAGACGAGTATATTGAAAATCGGGGCGACTTTTGGAGTTGGCCTACAAGCCGGCGTTGCCCCCGTCCGGCGGCGTCTCAGGCGTCCGTTACTCAGGTCACTGGTGCTGTGTCGGCCTGTGCAGGACTAGGCGTGTGCCGCATTTAACAGTTCGGGTGACTGGTGAGACGCTGTACCACACCGCTGTGGACCCCGTGTCCGTCTGCCTGCGACCCGTGTCCGTCTGCCTGTGACCCCCGTGCCGCCTGCCTGTGGCCCCGTGTCCGTCAGCCTGTGACCCCGTGTCCGTTCGGTCGTGACTCCCCTGTCCGTCTGCCTGCGTCCCTGCATCCGTCTGCCTGTGTTCCCGTGTCTGCCTGCCTGTGACCCCGTACCCGCCTGCCTGTGATCCCGTGTCCGCCAGCCTGTGATCCCGTGTCCGCCTGCCTGTGACCCCGCGCCCGCCCGCCTGTGACCCCGTGTCCGTCCGGCCGTGACGCACCTTGCCACCGGCCGGCCGTCGCTGGCCAATGGTGGACTTGCGTGGCATCTGCTGGTGCTGCGACGGACTAGAGCTGAGCGCCAGCTCCACGTTGGGGCCGGCGCCAGGCACTTGCACGGCGCCATTGGTCGGCGCCGCCTGCTCCGGCTCCGGCTGGTGGCACGCGGGCGTGCCGGTCGGCGTCAGCAGCACAGGCACCAACCCAGCCATACCCACACAGCGACGTCACAATGGCTATCGGCCGCTGCCAGCACCACCAGATCGATAAAGCACAGCACAGTCCACTGCGAACAAGGAAAGATCAGCGTGGCCAAACCTGTCTCCACGCACAGGTTCAGCGTGGCCAGACCTGCCGCCACGCACAGGTTCAGCGTGACCAGACCTGTCTCCACGCACAGGTTCAGCGTGGCCAGACCTGTCGCCACGCACAGGTTCAGCGTGGCCAAACCTGTCTCCACGCACAGGTTCAGCGTGATCAGACCTGTCTCCACGCACAGGTTCAGCGTGACCAGACCTGTCTCCACGCACAGGTTCAGCGTGACCAGACCTGTTGCCACGCACAGGTTCAGCGTGACCAGACCTGTCTCCACGCACAGGTTCAGCGTGACCAGACCTGTCTCCACGCACAGGTTCAGCGTGACCAGACCTGTTTCCACGCACAGGTTCAGCGTGGCCAGACCTGTCGCCACGCACAGGTTCTGAGCATGCCTGCGGCCTGATCTGGTGACGTCAAGACCGGCAGATGGCCGCCTGCTGAAGGCAGCGCTGACCCTGTGCGACCGGGCTAGGTACCGCAGCGTGGCACGGTACGGTTACCGCACGTGCCGGCCATCGCAGGGCCAGCATCTCACACCGAAATAGAGCACGTAAGAAAATAAAATCAAAACTGCTGAGTGATATCGATTCCAACACCGCAGCAATGACGAAAAAGGATGCCGCGCCTCACCTCGTGCGCCGAGAGGTACGTCTCGCCCGATGGGCACGGTGAGAGGTACGTCTCGCCCCATGGGTACGGCGCCTCACCTCGTGCGCCGATAGGTACGTCTCGCCTGGTGGGCGGGGCGCCTCACCTCGTGCGCCGAGAGGTACGTCTCGCCTGGTGGGCGGGGCGCCTCACCTCGTGCGCCGAGAGGTACGTCTCGCCTAGTGGGCGGGGCGCCTCACCTCGTGCGCCGAGAGGTACGTCTCGCCTAGTGGGCGGGGCGCCTCACCTCGTGCGCCGAGAGGTACGTCTCGCCTGGTGGGCACGGCGAGAGATTCGTCTTGCCCCGTGGGCGGGGCGCCTCACCTCGTGCGCCGAGAGGTACGTCTTGCCCCGTGGGCGGGGCGCCTCACCTCGTGCACCGATAGGTACGTCTTGCCCCGTGGGCGGGGCGCCTCACCTCGTGCACTGAGAGCTGCGCCTCGGCCGAGTACTCGTTGTCAGGCGGCTGCGGGATGTCGAACGGCGCAGCCGAATGCTCGTCGAAGAAGTCGACCTCTGGTGCGGCCTTCTCGGCGCTCTCGTGGTGTCCGGTGTCGATGTGCACCTGTCGAGGAACGGCCCAGCGCCGACGATCAGCGAGCGGCCACACACCAGTGCGGGGGCGCCCACCCGTCGCAGCGCCGCCGTCGACAAATCCCAATGCGACATTGTCCACAGCAGGATATGAACCATTGAGATAATGCAATGCCAACGGCAGGAGCGCAGGACCACAGCAACGTGTCTACTGGCTACTGAATACAACACCACCGGAATGAATGGTCCATGCAGCTTGGTTTGTCGAAATGTCGGCGGACAAGAATGAGGCCAACATGTGACACAACATGACAACAGGGACGTCGCACCAGCTCATTAGTGGCAACGAGATGTGAATAGCAAAGCCAAGGAGAGCTGCTTCCCCCATCCCCTACGGAGCGAAATGCCCGGGCGTAATCCGCATGGGATAGCACTAGGTTTATACGGAACTAAATAAGCCTTAGCCGCACCCAGAATAGTCATATCTGCAACGCACTAACAGCCAGAGCGACCTAAGCGTCCCCGACATCCCAGTTTGCATCGAAATGCACTCTCACAAACGGCACGGCCAGAAATATATTGGCTGATCGATTATGTGGCATCAGGGGCGACAAAGGCCTGCAGCGACACTCAGCCAGTCCAACGTATCAACACGAACGACGCAACCACGCGTTGTTTATCCCGCGTTTCACACGAGCATGCACAGACAAAGGGAGGGGGAGGGGAGGGGGAGGGAGACATCGTCGGCCGAGGCCGCCCGGCGCCGTGCACCACACTGCACTGCAGTCTGAGAGGAACAGCCTGAGGCCGCTGGTCGTGTCATGCCGACGGTCCCAGCCACCTGAAGTGACACTAGGGCCCCGTTCTTGATGGGAAAATGCTGCCAGATGCTCCGCCCCTTCAGGTAACAACCTATGACGTTCCACAGCTACGTCATCTACGTGATGGAAACGCTTCAAGTAACTCCTCAACATGGTGGCTAGTAAAATCAGCTGTTTCCCAACAAACACATTTGACGCGCAGCAGTGATGATAATGACGAGTCGGGACAGTCAAATGCAAATACTTCAGGTGCATCTCTCACAACAGCTGCCTATACCATAACGACTCACCATAACGAGAATATTGAAGGCAGAGAAAGGCAGATCATCGCCCTCGACTCAGAAAGACGTTACATTATTTCAAGCGTTGCGCGAGCGTAACCACGTCCAATCGATCATGCCACGGACACGAAGTTCAACAGGCACTGGTAACTTAGCGCCTTATGCCAGCTAAGATCATCGTGCACGTACATTCAGGTCGTCCATATACTTTGTTACGCATGGAAGAGTTTTGGCGCATGTGGTTGCAAGCAGGGATACAGCTTTGCCCGGAGCACGCGTGCAGGGAGAAATCTCATGTTGTGACAAGTCGCATGAAGGAGAGCTCCACATATAGACACATCTCAAATGCAAAGGCAAAGCTGGCTCCTTATCATGACAATCATGCCCAGCACAGAGGCAACCAGAAGCGTCCGTTGGAAGATGTGATGCCTGCGCTGCAATATCTTGCCGAGCCAGTACCCCAATACTCCGTTGGTGACAAATTTGGAAGTTCAAAATCTGGGTCACACTAGTATCTGACAGTATTTTGCAAGTGCGTTGCTGCCGCGCGCGGTGGCGCCATCGCGTGGCCAGTAAGAGCACGGCTACATGAAACCATTGAAGGCTTTGCAGCGTGCGCCGGCTCCCCGGGAGTGGTTGCAGCCATCGACGGGTCCTTTCTCTTCATGGATGCACCCAGCAAGGAGATAGCAGCTGCTCATAATACCCACACGCACCGCCAAACAGTACATCTATTGGCTGCTTGTAATCACCGCGGCGCACTCACTGATGTACTTACAGGGTTCCGGGATCCGCCCACGATTGTCGTGTTTTTTGGACAAGGCCCCCCTCTACTGCAACCTCAGGGAACATCGGCGGCAGCTTCTTCCATCTAACGCACACCTCGTCGAGGACAGGAGCTTCCCCTTTTCCCGAAAATCATCACCTCTTCCCGAGACAACGATCACCTCAGCCCCACTCAGCGCCACTTCCACAGACCATACAAAAAAAACACGTGTCAAAATTGAACGTGCCTCCAGCATGCTGAAGAACAAACTGTACCAGCTAAAACATTGAGAAGTGAAAAACATGGGCAATGTGGCTGAGGTTATCATTGCATTGATCATTGCACCATGCATCAATCATTGCACTATGCATCATGAGCATGGGCCAGGGGATGACATAGTGCCAGCAGAGCCCCACGAGGCAGATCCCGTGGAACGGACCGACATAAGTCCGCTGTTGCTTTCTAGCATACAGAACCTGCAAGCACAGTGCATGGGCATCACAAAGCGACAGCACACGGCTGATCACCTCATGGCAAAGATGACGATACATGCACCTTGCTCCAGTTAAATGTTGTAATGTGAACATTGAGAAAGATCAAGGCAGATCAGGAAGAACAGTCAATTCACTACATTCAAATCAGCACAAACGCAGTTTGGGAAACAGATGCAGCAGCTTAATGAGCAGCAGGGGGTGCCATTAAAAGGAACATAGACTGAAAAGCTTGGAGACTCTCCACATCTAGAAAGACAGCAATTTGTGTACACCCAGTCACTGGGATTACTTTGGGCAACATACAGTATCACGATTTCATTGTTTGATTGCCTAGTGCATGTCAAATCCCATCCACATGTGTTAACATTTGGTAAAGAACATTTTAAGAATTAAGTGCTCGCTGCCTTCCATAACTGACCATTCAGGCTACATCATGTGGGTAAAACTTTATTCAAACAATACTTAAATACAAGATGATAACATCTATGACATGTATCAATTTCTTTTACAACTTATCCACCTTGCTAAACGCAGCAGACAAAGCCATGGCCATAGTGAACATTTATTTGGCAAAGTCTGCACATACAATGGCCGCACCAAGCAGATTCAATGCAGTTAAGATAAGGACAAGTCACAGCTTGATGTGTACAGAGCAGATTGCTCAACATCATCATATGACCTTTATCATAAAAAATGTTCAACTATGACAATTTTATATGCCTGTCTTGTACTTCCACATGCTTCAATACCACTAGCAAGAAATCAGTGAAATCAACATCCCATCCCCATTACCTATCAATAAGGTGTGCTGAAATACATACCAGTGCTTAATCTGTTAACATAAATTTTAGGTAATGTCGCCTTGACGCACTGTTCAACATCGGGGTTACAAGACTCCACCATCCCCATGTTGTTAATAATCTGTCAGGCATGCAGCAGGTCGGTGAAGAAGTGACAGAAAGTAAGTGCTACCATATCAATAATATAATTTTCATGCAGCATAACAATCGTGCTTACAGGTCACACAGCTGCAAGTTTGTTTGGTTAACCTACACCAACCCATGCCTATGCAGTTTGCTCATTCAAAATGATCCATCAGACCTATGAAACGAATTAGCTTGCATTACAAGCACACTTTCACTGATATAATGCAGTACCACCTGGGCAAAGGAGTTAAGTAACAATGCATATAAGTGTGCATTTGCGATTGAATCACTAAGCAGGCAGTGATGGCTGACACATCAGTGTACCTTGTACCATCAGTGCACCTTGGACCTGTACCCAGGCCTGCTGCGCTTCGGCCAGGTACACCGTAACCTGCAACCCCTGACGACATATCATTAAGGAAACACAAATAAGCCTGACTAAGGCATTTTTCAACCAATAGTAGTAAACTACTCTATGGCAATAGTGTAACTTATAAATGGCAGATGTAGGGGGTTCGAGGAAACCCTCCACATCCACCCTTCCCCCATCCGCAAATGCGTCGTTGGAGTTGCTATGTAAATGACCACTAGCTACGGCACTTACTTTGCCTCTCCGCAAAGCAAGGAATCGGCTTGGGCCGTGATGCCATAGGTAAGTCGGTAGCTACGTCATCTATCGACTGGGCTTACTCGAGGTAACGAATGGGCTTCCGTTTGGTCATGAAGAACGGGGCTCAGCTGCCTCGCCGTTGCTCACCAACGGTGTCTTCACCTCACTCCGAGAAAACATACGGTAGATTATTTTCACCTATCAGTCTGAACACCTGCACAGCAATTCGGAACGCACATGAGGGCAGCGGACAGCAATATCCCCGCTTATTTTGAGCACAAACCTGAGGTTCCAGATTATCAGATAGAAAACACGAACAATCAGTGTCGTTACACAGTATAAACTGGAGCCAAAAACGTGTATGTTCTCTATTTGGCATCAATTCATCACATGCCGCGAGCCTTTTTCACCATGCTGATATGGATCCCAACATGAAAACAATTCCCGATTAGCCCGAAACCACAGAACTGAACACCGCCACGGCACACCTCGTGCCAATGATTGAATGTTAGCGGAGGCGTTTACAAACTTACGGTCATCACATGCGTTCAATGGACTTTATAGCGGGGAGGGGATGGATTACGGCTGTTGAAAACATTCTGCACCTTTTCCTGGATCGGACAAAACATTCTGATTCCAATCAGCAGTTTTCCAGCACAAGTAAGTCCTACTAAAAAATGCTACCACCTCTACGCCTTGTCTCCAGCTGTAACGCTATGGGAGAAGACACTACCATCACGGAGGTACGACAACGTATTATTTAACTCCAGCTAGGCCCTTGTTGCGGTTTAAAAATGGTAGAACTATTCCAGCGTAACGAGAAAAATCCCAGCAAAACCAGTAAAAACATGTAAATCAGGGCAGCAGCCTGACTTCTCTCCGTGGGAAAGTTGATTTTGGTGGGTCCATTGCCTTAAAGGCAGCATCAAAAACCACGCCACACAAGCCTCCTAAGGATTGCAGTGTCCAATGTTCCCCAATAGGATGACTTTAACCATCTGAAATCTATAAACAGACACGGTATCTAACACAGTTGCATCTTTCCCCATCTCCTTATCCCGATCTGTTCCAACATTTTTACTATCGTTATTATGAGTGTTTTCTTTACCTTTCATTACATTCCCCAACTGACACCCGAATACAGTTGAAGTATTCACTCCGCCGCTCGTGTTTCAACTCCCTGTCCCATACATGACAACAATACATATGTGTGTGTCATGGTGTGCGGGTCCTCGCCAGCACTGCGGTCCACTGCATGTCCAAATATATGTTAGAGCACTCCAAGCCACCCACGGGCCCTCGCACGTAGCAAGCCCCCCGTTCACCGGTCCGGGCAGGCCGGGCACCGCGTTCGCATCACTTCCACCATCCGCTGCCAGTGTGACCTCCAAGCGCCCCCCCCCCCCCCCCCCTAGTACAACAGGGTCCCGACGGACCGCGCGCAGGATGTGACCCGCGTAAGGCCTCCATCTGCCGGGACCTGTGCGGGAGCGCACTGGTACACCACCGCCCGTGTCTGGACTGGTCATCTGGCACTTCGCCATCGCACAACAAACACTACGTGCCGAGTCCCCCCAACACATATTGGGCTTTGATATATGGCATCTCAATATTTCTGCTGCTCAGTGCATCGCCGATTCACCAGAATTTTATATTTACAGAAAAACTGATAGGGAAAATGCGCTGCAGTAACTGACAGCCCAGAAGCCAGCTGACTGGCACCCGAGGTGCCGACATTTTCTCGTCAGGGAAATAACACCAAGCAAGGTGCGGTGCGTCTCGGTTGTTTCAATGAAATAACTTAATCAGCGCTATTGTCAGGTGATAATGGACCGGGGTTACAGGCGGCACCCCAGCCCATTGAACCTCAGACACACCCATTGCCAGGTGATAATGGACCGGGGTTACAGGCGGCACCCCAGCCCATTGAACGTCAGACACACCCATTGTCAGGTGATAATGGACCGGGGTTACAGGCGGCACCCCAGCCCACTGGACGTCAGACACACCCACTGCACCACGGCGCTATTCAGCACAGGCGCCCCTCGGCCCAGGAATCGCCCGGGGACAATCGACGATATGAGCGCCGCAGCGCGAGCAAGGAGCCCAGCGTCCGGCGGCAGCCCACTGCACGACGATAGATTGGTAACTGAAACACGGTGTGAAAGAGCCCAGCGTCCGGCAGCAGCCGACTGCAGGACGATAGATTGGTAACTGAAACACGGTGTGAAAGAGCGTACACGCATACAACATCCATCTCGTTCTACGGAGTAATGATATCTGACCGTGGACGGCATTCCGGTTTTAATACAAGGAATAAAGTAGCAGCAGCGCTAATTAGACCTCGGACATAAAAGTGCATAACGCAAACTGAACATCATTCATCCTGTATCAAGGTCGCGCCAGAAGAAAAGCGACCAGACATGCCAAAATGATTCATGCTGCTTATATAACGTGCAGCTGCCACCAGAGGATTGGCAGCGTGTCCACAGCCGAGGCCAATGACCAGTGTGCAGCAGCGTGTCCACAGCCGGGGCCGATGACCAGTGTGCGGCACCGTGTCCACAGCCGGGGCCGATGACCAGTGTGCGGCACCGTGTCCACAGCCGGGGCCGATGACCAGTGTGCAGCAGCGTGTCCACAGCCGGGGCCGATGACTAGTGTGCGGCACCGTGTCCACAGCCGGGGCCGATGACCAGTGTGCGGCAGCGTGTCCACAGCCGGGGCCGATGACTAGTGTGCGGCAGCGTGTCCACAGCCGGGACCGATGACTAGTGTGCGGCAGCGTGTCCACAGCCGGGGCCGATGACTAGTGTGCGGCAGCGTGTCTACAGCCGGGGCCGATGACTAGTGTGCGGCAGCGTGTCCACAGCCGGGGCCGATGACTAGTGTGCGGCAGCGTGTCCACAGCCGGGGCCGATGACTAGTGTGCGGCAGCGTGTCCACAGCCGGGGCCGATGACTAGTGTGCGGTGTGAGGATATCAGCTCGCGGCAGCCGCCCTCACCTGTGTGCCATATAGCTTCATGGCCTGGACGGCCAGGCCGTGCAGCTTGTCGCGGTAGAGCTGAGCGGCGCGTGAGTGGTACTTTTGCTGGGCGTCAGTTGTCGTGCAGTTGTGCTGCTGGAAAAACTTCCGCTGCAACGCAACCACCCAGTAAGTTATCCAATAGAGCACCGAACACTGCACAACGAGAGAGGCCAATACTATACAGTTACGTCCAAACCCTATAAAGAATACCAGCGCTAGAAACAGCGAAGAGCGATTGTATCGATCAAGCGATGGTCCCGCACAATCTACTCAACACTGGAAAACGGGAGGTCTCTGCGACTTCAATCATATGGCTGATAGTTGCATGCAACACAACTTTGTAAATTGGTGCAAAAAATCTGAAAAACAAGCTGTAAGTAAAAAACAGACGCTTCTGTTCAGGCTATTTTCTATTCCTATTGTTTGCGCTCATATTCCACAAGATGGCACATTTGAGAATAAGGAAAGCTATGAAGACACTTGACGAAAGGAGCGTTTCCAAATGGAGGATATTGTGCAGGGATGTCGGCAGGGTGTTACGCGGGACGGGCCGGGTGTGTGTGTGCGATAGCAGCGATGGCGTGCATGACGGCTCTGTAGTCTGGCACCGTCAGCCGTCGACTTTACTCACAGCATTGGCGTTGCCCCCAAGCTGCATGTTGCGAAGCTGAAGCCAGGTCCAGTTGGTGTCCAGCTGTGTTGATCTGACGAACGTCACGTGCACACCGAGGCCCCTGAGGGTGGCCGGAACCGCCGTTACTGCTGCTGCCCACCCACTTCAGCCTGCCACGTCATCTGTCTATCAGTTAGGAGTGACCGGCACCGCACGTTAACTGCTGCTGCCCGACCCACCTCAGCCTAGCCACGGTCAATCCGTCTATCAGTTAGGGAGTGGAACCGGCAAAACCGCCGTTACTATGCGTTGCCCACCCACAGCAGCCTACCACGTCATCCGTCTATCAGTTAGGGTGACCGGCACCGCCGTTACTGCTGTTGCCCACCCACCTCAGCCTGCCACGTCATCCGTCTATCAGTTAGGGGTGACCGGCACCGCCGTTACTGCTGTTGCCTACCCACCTCAGCCTGCCACGTCATCCGTCTATCAGTTGGGAGTGACAAGCACCGCCGTTACTGCTGCTGCCCATCCACCTCAGCCTGCCACGTCATCCGTCTATCAGTTAGGGGTGGCCGGCACCGCCGTTACTGCTGTTGCCCACCCACCTCGACCAGCCACGTCAGCCGTCTATCAGTTAGGGGTGGCTGGCACCGCCGTTACTGCTGTTGCCCACCCATCTCAGTCTGCCGCGTCAGCCGTCTATCAGTTAGGGGTGGCCGGCACCGCCGTTACTGCTGTTGTCCACCCACCTCGACCAGCCACGTCAGCCGTCTATCCAGCTCGGAGCTCCCGCCTTTCACTCAAGCAACAGGACATGACACGATTAAGCAGCACGGTATTTTCCATTCGGCAGGTCTCAGTGATTCGTATGGTTTGTAAGACATCATTTTGGGAGCAAAATCCTTGTCCTCGCTGTGCGGGCAGCTTCATACGCCTCCATAGGATTCTAATGGAATTACTTCGGAACGGTCCTATGCACTATGTTTCATTCGCTGATAACTGTGTTTATATTATTTGTACATATACTGACAGCATCAAAGTTTCTGACATGGATGATTTGTGATTCATGGCCTCTTTCTCAAGACCATGTCGGTGGCATTTGGGAGACGGCGGACTGCGAAGAGCTCCCAACATAAACCGGAAACATTGAAAATTGTTTAACAAAACAGTTGAACCTTATCTATGACTTACATTGCTATGAGCAGGCCGTTTTTAATCTCATTTGGCCAATTTCCGTTATGTATTGCATGCTACGCCTTCATTATGTCGCATGTTTTTGACGCGCGTTCGACGCGCGTACAACATTCCGTGTCACGTTCTTATGAAAACCTCGGTAGCAATGAAATCCTAAACAGACCCAGACAG